ACCCGTTTTACCCGTTTGCTTTGCTTGAAAACAAAGGAGCAGGGGGTGGTGCAGCGGCGGACTCTGACCCCAAAATTGAAGTGATACCAGCAAGTGCCGGCTGAGTTGGGATGACATGAAGAAGTAGGCTTGACGTGCCCGGTAGATGGCCTCGGCGGACACTGAACTGAAGAGGTTGGTTGCTGTTGAAGAGAATCTACCAGTTCGATAAGTTGCGCAGTCTCAACTTTCAGCTGTGAGAGAGGAGACACAGGAGAAACCACAGGAGTTGGGAGTCGGTGGCAAGGCCGTGCATCTCTGTCAGCCGTTCGGTCATTTGGGTGAGTTATGTCGCAATAAGAGATCTAGGAGCAGGCGCCAAGATATGCTGAACTTCTGAGGAAAGCTGTTTATGGTCAACAACTGACTAAATATTAGATTTGAAAGAAGAGTAGCGTTCGGTTCGTGTAACCAATTGTCGAAGAAGTTGTCTCGATAAAATGGTGTCCCAAAGCTTAATTCGAGGAAGAGAGAGTAGGTTGAACTCACTTTTTACTGCGAGAAAGAAACTTTATGAAGGGTCGCGCCATGCGATAGCTGCTAGCTGTGTCTTCAGGCGAATTGTGTTTTTTCCGTGTTCGCTGTTGGGACTACCTGACCCCAGGACGTGTCCTTTGAACTTACGCGAGACTCATGCAGCAGATCGACCGGGAGCGTGAGGCGGAGATGACAACGCACCGTCTCTGTCAGCGATCGACCAAGAACGCGTGGGGTGTTTTCATGTGCATGTACCCAAGGCTTGCCAAGCGGAGGCAAGGTTAGTCGGCACAGTGGCTCTAATCGCGGACTGTCACAAATTCACTTCCAAATACACCTCGATGGTTTCTGCCGACATTTCATTCCGATCTTTGTCCCTAAACTAGCTTTTCCTTTGCTAAACAACATTGTAAATCACTGAAGTGCGGCCATATCTGGCTTTCTGGTGAAAGCCTTAACGCGGAAGTGAAAATTTATTGCTCTTCCTAAAGTCTGCCCAGCAATATACGTGCGCTACATAGATGAAACATTTGTCTTCGTCAAGGTTAGATCTGCCGTACACGATTCGAAACCTTTCTAGGAACTTAGTTTCTTTTCGAATTGAAAGTCGATGGAACAATCCCATTTCTCGTTGTAATTGTACATCGAAAAACCGATAGATGACTTCACCTGTCAACTTAGCACAAATGGTCATAGTTAGTGGTTGATGAGCCATCCAATCTCTCATAATAGGAGTTGTCTCTGCAGCCTGCTACATCGAGATACAACACACTACTCCGATAAAAAAAGTTATCAGCTAGAAATGCAATACCTCTTTAAATTGTGGTTTTCAAAATGAGTACTCACGCAGCTCTGTGCGTCAACGTACGAGCAGCAACAGGTCAAACAAAAACAATATTGAAGGATTAGACAATTTTCACGTGAACTCTCCCAATCTGTAAAAAGTATTCAAGCGTGTCGAAAAAAAAACCAAAGTAACATCTGACAGGAGTAACTCACGAACCCGCAACTACCTTATAAACCCTATGAATAGTGTTGGCTACCTTGATAGAAAAGGTGTTGCCAACAAGAGCCCACGCTACCGTTGTAAAACCGTCTACTATGACCAATCTTTCCAAACCCGTATAGTGGCACCTGCCCGGTTAGCAAGCTTGTGGGCTCCTGTATACATTCTGCTAAAATGAGACATGCAGCAAACAACATACAGATTAAACTGGCATCTGTAGATTTTTAAGGACGAATAAAAGCGAGCGCAGCCAGTACCGACGGGCTGAATACAAACAACTGATGCGCAATGGTGGAGGCCTGTGTCAACTCCATGCCAATAAACGTCATGTTCCAGCGATCGTATTTCGCTCCTCTCCTGAACCTCGGAATTGTTTTTAAGCTAAATTAAGTCGTTACCTTTTCTTGTACATGTCCCATATGTCTGGCGACGAGCTGGGGAACCTATCTCGACGTAAAGTTATGCATTAAAGTCATTCCGTTCCCAAAGCATTTACCTCTCCAATTAAATATTTCAGGATGGTCGATTTTTCAGCTGGCAGGTCAACGAGCCCGTGCCTCAATGGTTACCTTGCTGAAGTTCTCACTGACGAGTCGCGTGTTCGAGTTTCAGGTGTAGCAACACTCGCAGTTAGATATGGTTGGCTGATGACGGCTAAGACGCCCGGAATGGTCATACCAGCCCCCCCCCCCTTG